CGCACGCAAATATTCGTTGCGTTCCAGATGCTTCACGATATTCACGAAATTCACGATTTGCAGGTTTTTTTTTGCAGGAAAGCGTTCCAGGTGCCAAAAAATCTGCAAGCCAAACCACTTTTGTGAGAGTAACTTGCTCTCTCTCTTAGTCAGAAGTTGCAGGTTTTAGTCGGAAGTTTTTCTTCCTGCAAGTTCATGAAAAGTGTCAAACTATCAGCTGTGCTGTCAAATAAAAATTCAAAATAGAAAAAAAACACACAGAAAGTTATTTTAATTTGGCCTAAATAAATACAACATATATCGAAATGGAAGCAAAAAATGATGCAAATGAACATGTAAGTAATTATTCGTATTTGCGTATGTATGTATATATTAAAATTAAAAAATTGTTTAGCCAAGTTCTTCCGCTTCTGTACAAGATGTGGACATTTTCAACACCATTGTGGCGGAACTTGTGGATTCATCAGAGGAATCTGATGACGATGTGTATGAGCTTTTGGTGGGCAATTCTGATAGTGAAGATGATGCCATACTGGAAAAGATTCTGCAATCGAGTGAGAGAAAAAAAAGAAACTCCATAAAAAATTATTTTGAAAGAGTTGTGCCCAAATATAGTAGGGAAGAGTTCAAGACACATTTTCGTATTTCAAAGGATTTATTTGAAAATTTGGCAAGTAAATACGAAGCAAGCGATTTATATAAAAGCCTATGCACTGAAGTATGTTTTTCTGCAGCTAAGCATTTGGCTTTATTTTTATGGTTTGCGGGCCATGAAGCCTGCAGCTTCCGTGATTTGTCGGATCGCTTCAACGTAACCAAATCAAGCGTTTGCCGTGTAATAGAAAGGGTTACGAAGTACATAAGTAGCATAAGTCTCGACGTCATAAAATGGCCAAGCAATGTAAAAAAACAAGAATCTGCCAATTATTTTGCTAAATTCGGTTTTCCAAAGGCAATAGGTAAAAACAAGAACGATATATGTACATACATGTGGAATATTGTATTAATTCTTACCAATATTATCTTTGTTAATTTATCTTTCAAAACAAGGTTGTATTGATGGGACCCATATTGTGATCGACCCACCCTCAGAAAGAAAAGATGACTATATTAATAGAAAAGGCAACGTAACTCTGATCATGCAAGGAATTTGCGATGAGCACAGGAAGTTCATCAATGTTTTTGTAGGATTTGCGGGGTCAAGCCACGATAGTTGGGTTCTTCAGAATTCCCCTATTTACAGAAATTTAGCATCAGCATGTGGAGGTAATCTTCATTTCTCTATTATTTATCAGTTATAAAATCATACAAGCATTCATGTATAAAACTTTGTACATTTCAGGTTACTATTTGCTTGCAGATTCAGCTTATCCCTGCAGCGATTTCATTATAACGCTTTACAAAGACAACGGACATTTGAGCCATGACCAAAAAAGATTTAATATGAGCCTTAGCAAAGGTCGCATTGCAATAGAACACACTTTTGGTTTATTAAAGCAACGGTTCAGACAGCTTTACTATTGCAAATTAAGAGGCATTGACAAACTTTGTCGCTTTATAGGAGCGTGTTGTGTTTTGCACAATCTTGCTGATGTAGACGACTTGAGCTTATAAGCGAAGTTGAAAATGAAGGCCAATTCGCAAACGAGGAAACATGGGAACCAACCAGAAGTAACCGTGTTAGGGACCAAATTTGTCAAGAAATCCGACTACGCAATCGGCAATTATAAATTAAGGTTTACCTACCATATAAATGCAAGTTTCAAACATTGAACACATTTGTGTTGTTCACGCTTGACTGGTTATCAGGTTATATGGTTTTTTTTTTTATATATTTTATACAGTTTACAACAAAACATTTATATTAAATTATTTCAAAAACTCAAATTTAATTCAATTACAGTGCTTGTATATTTAATTACTTACATATACAGCAGACGCTCATACAAGTGTTTACGTGTGTATATTTTTTTTTAATTCACAATGTTTTTCATGTTAACATTTTTTCTTATTTTTCATAAAAGTATTGTTAATGCTTCAACCAAAACCATATAAATCAAAATTATAAAAAATGTTCATCAAAATTTCAAACTTTTTAATATGAATCTTTAGAACTTTTTTGCGTATTTTTTGAAACTTGAACTCTTGAACACTTGTATGACTCACTGTATCTAACTTCTTATATGTAGTTACTAAATTATCCAAAATAAAAATAATTAGTAATTATCATTATAATTATGCTTTTGAATCATTATTTCCAGTAGCTCTAATTTCTTTCTCTCCCTTTCTTCTTTTTTTTGTTCCCTTTCCTCTTTCCTTTTTAAAAAATCTATAACTTTTCCATGAAATTCTTTTCTTTCTTCTGCCATTTCACTCAAGGTTTTTTGCAGCTGGTCATTGGAACTCGGTCTCTTCCGCTTCCTTGAATAACTCGACACATCATCTTTAAAAATATAGTAAATTGGTTTTTATTAATTTAATATTGGGCATTATGAATCAAAGCTAATCAATTGCTTTTTCTTAAAATTTCAGACCTTTTACTTAAATTTATTTGAATAAATCGAGTAAAAGGTCTGAAATTTTAAGAAAAAGCAATTGCTTAGTTTTGATTCATAAGGCCGATCATGTACATATCGTCTGTGATACTGCAAAAAGTACTATTGTAAACGGTCTATAAATTAATGGTAAAAAAAACCTGTGATTAAAGATACATGAATGTGCGTATTTAAGAAATATACCTGCTTGGTCATTTTCCGATGTGAGTTCGGCATCGGACTCATTCAAATTGCTGGTGTCCCCGCTTGTATCCACCTGGTTACTTTCCCAGAGGAATACCGGATTCAATGAGGCCTTTTCCCCCAACATTCCATCCAGTTCGCTAATAAATAATAAAAACAATTTTAAAATTTAGTGCAACGAAAATAACTATAAACCATTTCAAACCTCTGATAAGGACAACTTTGTCGACTTCTCCCGGTCTGCGCGTTATTTAAAATTACTTTTTTGTATGTTCGTTCAAGGCTTCGAAATTTATTTTCTATTTGTACTGCCGTTAAATTGTAGCCTTGCTCTCTCATGCTGTCCTCAATTGCTTTCCACATCTTCGTTTTATTGCGGAATGTCGCAGATTTCCCAACCTTGGGACGAATTTCCTCTATCACATGTTTCAAATGTTCGCCTTTTCTTATGGGAATATAGTCATCCTCCGAAAATTTAAAATTAAAATTTCATGGAGTTTGTTAATAACATTACTTGCCAGTTGCAGAGGTCGTCAACTGTATGGAGTGCGTGTCATCCACAGGCGTGATGTTGTCAGAGTCAACCTGCATTCCATTTTATATAATTGCAAGTTAAAACAATATTAACTTATAGTTTATTAAATGTACGGAAATTTTATGAAAGTAGGTATACCTTAATTGTTTGCTACTTACCCACTTGGGAAAAGACCACCTCGCCGAAGGAGCAGCCCTGCGATTCCAGCACACCGTCTGCAACTTTTCGCATAAATTCGGGATCTGAAAAATATCAACACACGTATGTATGTAGTAATAAATGGCAATTATCATAATTTAACTTACCTTTTTGAATTCTATTATATGTTTGTGGCGAACAAGCACCTTGAATTTGATTTTCCTCCATTTTTTATGTTTGGCGCTTGTATTCCTTTTGTGCCGGCGTAATTTTTGACAAATAGTTTCTAGAGGTGGAGAAAAATCGATGGTAACATCGATAATCAGATGTTACTTCTAAGCTTCTAACATCGATGTTGTTTCTCAACAATTTCAGTCTCTTAAGCCTTTTTGCTACAATTTTATTAATTGTAGTAATTTAAAACATAAATTATTGAATTGCGGAGGTGTTAGAGACTTGGAGTGTTGAAGTACATGAAGATATCATGAATAAATGTTCGCAAAGTAACGGTGTTTGTTTTATGTATAGATTTCATGAGTGCGATATATGTATAAACATAAATTTTAGTGACTTTTGGTAGAAACCCAAAAAAACACGTGGGGTGGAAAATGCAAAAATGTTCTATTTGTTATGAAAAACATATGTACACTGGCGATCAAAAGTGAGTACATTGTGTTTTTTTCTTAAATATTAGCAATGTTTTCAAGTTAAAATTTTTGGACTTTTTACCATATAAAAGGAAATTTATTATAGAATAAAATGCGCAAGACCGTTTGCAAACAAAATTAAAAAAATTAACGCTATAGTTTATAAATTGCACTTGTTATATGCATAATATTGCAAAATCCGTCACTTGAAAAACGTTGCAAATATTAAACAAAAAACACCTTGCACTCACTTCTGATTGCCAGTGCATATAGTGAATGGCAGAAATAACTCAAAAAGTCCTACGCAGAAGAATTACATGCAAAAATACTGTAAACAGCGTAGTCGGAGTTCGAGGTATGACGGCGCAAACCCGATTTATTATCAATTTTTAAAGGACCTTTTTGTGAAAACGTACTTTAAATATATGAAATAAAATACTAAACTATATATTGTTATGAATATTTTTTAATTAATCCAATTTATTCACAAACGAAAATTTAGAAAGGAGAAATGCTTTGGGGAAGTTAATATCTAGCCTGATTTTCAAAGTTTCAAAAAATATCGATATTTCATCGACGTTTATCTTTCAATCGATGTTTCTCCAGCTCTAATAGTTTGACATTTAAATCGTTGCAGGAAAAGTGGTTTTTCGCGTTCCAGATGACTTTTACTGTTTCGCTCTCGCTCCTCTCTTTCCAGAGAGTAATTTTGTTATTTGACAGTTTTACAGGTTTTTACACGAAGTTACCTGGAACGCAACTATTGTTTTGTCCAGGTTGCTGTTTGGCATTGTTGTTTAGGAAATTTGTTTGTATGTATTATACTCTATGTATGTTTATTTATTAAAATATTATTTGTGAGCCTACTCAAAACACGTCTACTCGCTATGCATATACACTTAAAACAGTTCCTGAATTTTCAAACGTAAAATTGTCATTTTGAGTACATTCTCTTATAGGATCTCTCTTTCTTTTTTCAATATTTCGACACTCTGATGTTGGGGAATGTACTTTGAATGTACTAGCAGTATAGAGGTATTACATATATGTTTATAAGATACTGTTATGAAACTTCGATCACCCTACTAATCCCCTACTTGAAAGTGTTGTGCAGCTGCTGAGAGACTGGAAGGTTCGCAACGGTTTTGTCGTATGATTAAGCAACAGCAGAACTTTGTGCGGAAGTAGCGGAATATTATTTGTTTTGTGTTTTCTTTATAAGCAATGTTCGCAATTAAAATGAGTTTAGTTGCAGTTTAGTTCTCAGCCACACCGCCTTTTACTTTAATTAGGCTCGCCGAAAACAAACTCCTCTCGGGAACCAAACCAGTGTAGAATTTTCGCTACACTGGTGTCAGGTGTGGGGTGATAAAATATCACCTATTCGAACAGACTTGAGTTCTCGCCATGCCAAATAAATCAAAGGAGTTTAACCAACTCCAACAGCAAATACAAAAGGAGTTACAGAAGCAGTTCTCCGGGTTAACCGAATCGATGAGCACTCATTTAACTACAGTTCTGTAAACACAGCAGTCTGAACAGCAACGCGAATTACGAGAGTTGAGGAGTGAGTTCAAATCGCTTACCGAAGGCTTCGAAGCGAGATTTTCAACGCTGCAGTCTACTGTCATTCGCTTTTCGGCTGGAATTACATCGATTTTGGAACAATCTTCCTCTTCAGAAGAACCAATGGAAAATTACGGGCAATCAGCGCCAGTATCATTTACAACAATTATGGGCAAAACGCTACTCGCGAGTAGCGTCTGCGTCGCAGCACTTATACGTATACAGAAACGGCGCAGCGAATTTCAATTCAGTCTGCTTTCAGTTTTCATGAGAGTGACACCATGCTTCGCCGTTGAATATTTTTATTCGTAATTTCAGCGCGTTGTTGCCACCTATATATGTAACAATGCCCAAAATGGCTGCGTATGAGTGCCAATTACAGTTTTCAGTTTTAAGAAAAGCCAATAATGCCCAATGCTTGTTATGTGGTAATACGACTACTTGGAATCGTACTTTTAATATAAGGCGACATTATTTGTCATGGTAAAAAAGTCAAACTGCCGAACTGTGTAAACCAATTTAAAGTTTTTTGTAATGGGTTTTATGTATATATGTATGTACGATACGGCAATTTAATATATTTAGTATACTTTATTGAATACTGAGTTTTTTACAAAGTTTAGAAATTTTAAATTCGTGAATTTTGTTGTTGAATAAACTATCATTTTTTAAAACATTAGTTTAATGAAATTAAA